CCTTGTGCCAGACCCGATCGAAGGCCTTCGCTATGTCCAAACTAACGGCCAATGCCTCCCCCTTGGACTCTACTGCCTCCGCCCATCTATGAGTTAAGTAAACTAAAAGATCACCTGCTGATCGACCCCGACGAAAACCGTACTGACGGTCACTGATCAGCTGGTGATCCTCAAGGTACCTCATGAGCTGGCAGTTTATAATGGATTCCATTATTTTGGAGAACAAGGAGGTGATGGCGATAGGCCTGTAGTTGGACGGGTCTGAGCGGTCGCCTTTTTTAGGGATCGGGTGGACCAAAGCTGTCTTCCATGAATTCGGGACTACGCCTTGGGAGTAGGAGTACCGGAAAAGACGCGTTAAAACCGGTGCCAACTCCGGAGCACACGTCTTCAGCACAATGGGAGGGACTCCATCGGGCCCACTCGACTTGCTGACGTCCAGGGAGAAGAGTGCTTTGCGAACCGAGCGCTGTGTAAATCGCACATCCGGCATGGAGCACTCACATCGCGGGATGGTCGGCGGTGTGTTCCCCCCGTCATCTAGAGTCGAGTTGGACGCAAAAAGAGAGCACAACAGATCGGCTTTCTCTTTTGCGGCATGGGCCAGTGAGTCGTCCTCTCTGTGCAGAGATGGGAGGGATGGCTGACAGAAGTTCCCTTGGACAGCCTTGGCGAGAGACCAGAATGCACGGGTTCCCGAAGGAAGGCGAACTAGCTTCTCGCCAATTCTGCCGATGTGCTCAGACCTTGCCTTGGCAATGACGCTTTTGAAGGACCTGGAGGCGGAATTATACTTCTTTTTAAGTGCGCTGGTGTTTAAATCCCGAGACGTTGATGCGTCAGCCCAGGCCCGGTAGCACTCCTGCTTATAGCGTGATGCTATTTTACAGGAGCGACCAAACCATGGCTGGGATCTGCCTCCGATGGGCACCACAGAGGATGGAATAAAAAGTTCCATACCCTGAAGTACCACATCAGCAACAGAATCGGCAACAACGCTGGGATCTTCCGGCGAGAAGCAAACCCGCCCCCAAGGGTAGGATGCAAAAAAAGACCGCATCCCGTCCCAATCAGCTGACCTATAGTGCCAAACACGGCGGCAAGCTGTAGATCGCAACTGCGATTGGAGCGTGAGTGGCACTGTGCTCCGGATCAGACAATGGTCCGAAGAGCCCAGAGGGGCATCGACGGAGACCTGATATTCGTCCGGATGAGAGGTCAGCAGAAGGTCCAACAGGGAAGGTACATGGTCTTCCACATCTGGGATCCGCTTAGGCGAAGTAACCAGTTGTGTTAGACCATATGCCAAAGCAAAGTCGTAGACAGATCTACCCGCATGATCGGTTGAACGAGAACCAAGCCATTCAGCGTGGTGGGCGTTGAAATCACCGAGTATCACGATCTCTGCGGATGGGACCTGTTGTAGCACGGAGTCTGCAGCCATTTGGACGTGGTCGATGAGTCGGTCTGTGTCGGCATTACCGCTATGGGACCTATAGAGGCACCCGTAGACGCGGGGATGGTCGTCGCTGTCTACGCGCAGCCATAGGATGGACAGGTCCGTACCTTCAAGGCTGCCGAGGCGTCGAAAACAGATGTCCTCTCTGACGTATACACAAACTCCAGCCCGGGGCACAAAGGAGTGTTCCAATTTGTACCCCGGGTAGGAGAGATATGAAGTATCAGCCGGAGAGGACACCTGAGTCTCGGTTAAAAAGAGCAAGGCCGGCTTCGCCGTCTCTAGATGGTAATGGACAGCGTTAAGGTTGGAATGAAGTCCCCTGATGTTGCAAAAATTCACGGATAGCGTGTCAGGGGTCGCCTTGGTTGTATTGCTCCGCTTGCCCCGAGCAGCATTAGTCACGAGCGGAATTTTGCCCCCCCCAGAATACGCGGGGCAGCCTGAGCACCCACGCTCAGGAGTGAAGTAGTTTGTTCGTGGATGCTCAGCGAGGGATTCTCCAGGGTTGCTGGTACCCTCCTGGGGTAGTCTTGTATTTAATTCCACTACCATGTTGATGGGGGGGGGGGAATTGGGCCTCCGGCCACCTGCACTCACCAAACGCAACGCAGAGGTAAACCTCTACTTCACGTTGGTATTCTGTGAGGTCGTGGTACCACCCCGGTTCGAGCTGGCCCATCCGTGCGACAGCAAAAGCTACCGCTTGGCTCTACCACTGTTAAAATTCCCTTCTTGAGGCACCCTTTCAGTCTAGTCACGTAATAGTACAGCCAAAAGAAGAACTTCAAGGAAAATCACTATCAGAGTTGCACAATTAATTTAACCGATGTTAATAAGTCTTTAAAGAACAACACGGGTTCTCGCGGACGCAACGATTTTCGCGGGTTTAATACGTTCGTAACAAATTAGGCGCTAAACACTAAACTTCAGTTTTGATCGCAAAAAACTTTACAATGATTCTCGAGAAGTCCGTCCGATACCACCCGTGGAATGCGACCGGGCGGGGGGCGGCTGACCTTGCTACCGGTGCTATGCTTCGAACGTACGTTTAAAAAATTCACGTTTCAAATGTTTAATATTTTTGCCTAAACACTATCTATATTATTAATATTCCTTTGAAATATTGTTAAACAACCTAAAACAACGAAAACCAATTCACGATTTTAAATAAACAAAATACAAAATCAAAGCCAGAGTCTAAATATGTATAAAGGAAAGGAATACCAACCAAATCAACAAAACCGATCCAAGAAAATACACAAATCTGAAAATGAAAGCCAATATAAATCCATTCAACCTTAACCAAATCACAAAGCAAATAACAAACAACCTAAATAGAAAGCAGGTAGTCGAATAAGCTACGAAATAGAAACAGTTTAAGCGTATAGGTACCGTATGCACTATAAGTTGACGCGCGGCTCAACGGCGGGAGTTAAGTACATGTCAGGAAACATTTCGTTACCGCGTTTTAAAAACCTAATAGCGACATCTAGCGGAATCAATTTAAACTATGTATACGTTAGTTAATAAGAACTCTCAAAAAATAATTTTCTTATAATTTTGCACAATTTTTCTTATTGTAATACCGATTCATTCATAACCAGTTTTACCAGTGCAATTTTAACAGTGGTAGAGCCACGCGGCAGCTTTCTCTGTCGCACGGATGGGCCGGCTCGAACCGGGGTGGTACCACGACCTCACAGAAAACCAGCGTGAAGTAGAGGTTTACCTCTGCGTTTCGCTTGGTGAGTGCAGGTGGCCGGAGGCCCTTTTTACTGGAAATGAGGCATTCCATCTTAGTCCTCACGGGTGACAACGCATCTACATTTTGATTTGTAATATAGGACAGATGTAGATGTCTATGGGCCGCAGCAACCACTTACCATCAGATGGACTGTATGCTCGTTGTCACCCTAATCCTATAAAAAAAACACATATAAGAATATGTATAAGAACTGTATTCATTTCCGTTCAATAAATATTACTAAGGCTTAAGGCCGACGCTCTGACTTGAATTTGAAAAAAAAAAATTTGCTTATTAATAAGGCTTACTAAGAACTGTTTCTACCACAGTTAAGTAATAGTGAAGGGTGAAAGCGTGGTGGTGATAGTATTTCTGATCCATACTTATAATCACGCCTGTAACCCTTGCAGGGTAGGCAGAGCATCAACGGATTACTTAATATCGTCTGCGAGGTTATCGCCTATTCTGTGAATTACAATGCACCAAAACGTTTGAAGAAAATCAGCTGGTGAATTTTATGTTTTTTATCGCTCTCTCCCGGTCCTTTGTGGAAAAATACAGATCCATACATTTTTTATCTTAATATTGGTAAAAAGACATAATAATCCAGATATTCTGACCTTCTGTGTTCGTCCATCGTACCGTCGTCCGTCTTGTAGAATCACGGTGGCGCCACCTAGCTGAATTTAATTTTGCAACATATTCGATTTTCCCACGAGAATGAGATGTTTTTCCGCGGAAAAAAGTAACCTATGTCACTCTACAGCCACCGAACTATCCCCATACAAAAAATCATGCCATGCCGACGTTCTGTTGCGACGTGAAAGAAGGACAAACAAACAAACAAACAAACACACTTTCGCATTTATAATATTAAGTATGGATATATTATTACATACGTGGTAGAGCCATGCTGCAGCTATATTACTGGTATAGTTGTAGTACGAATGGGTCGGCTCGACCGGGGAAGAACCACGCTCTCACAGAATACCAGCGTAAAATAGCAGCTTAACGCTGCTGTGTTTCGTATGCTGAGTGTAGAGAACCGGAGACCCTTTTTACTGGAAAAGAGGCATTCCATCTTAGTCCTCACGGGTGACAACGCTTCTGCATTTTAATTCGTAATGGAGGATAGATGTAGATGTCTATGGGCCACAGTAACCACTTACCATCAGGTGGACTGTATGCCCGTTTGTCACCCTAATCCTATAAAAAAAAGAAGAAAAAGTCCCTATTGGTAGTCATGTTCTCTTTCTGACATTTATCAAAGGCCGGCAACGCATCTGCGATTCCCCTGGTGTTGCAGTTGTTCATGGGCGGCAGTAGTCACTTACCATCAGGTGAGCCGCAAGCTCGTTTGCCCCATCTCCTATAAAAAAAAAACGAAATGGGGTTATGGATTTAATGCCGGTACCACCACAAAAATAAACTAGGCAGCCGGATTTGCGATCGGATTTCGCAAGGGCAACGACGATAATATGCAAAACGGGGTAATAACAGCTCACTCCAACAACATGCGGGATGATCAAAAAACTTGCATATCTAGTAGCTCATAACTAGTTAGCTGTTTCTGAGAAATATCAAACATGTAACATGTTTATATCACTCTGTAGCTTTAGACTTTAGCTAAATATACAATTTTCATAAACATACAAGTACATTGTTAAATTATTTTCATAAATCATCATTCGCGTTGTCACGCCTAATACCTGCGGCCGTGATGACGACACAACCCCATCTTAACATTGTTAATACTACTATTAAAAACAATGATTATCTTGATGCAATACTCACTATAGATGCATGTAAACAACCCAGAACTGCAGAGATCAGGAATAGAGTAAAATACCTATGGTTGGCGTGGCCCACACAGCAGTTTATCCAAGGGCAATGATGATCCATTTTCTTCACACAATAACCACCTAAAATTATACAAAACTTTAAATTCAAACGATTTATTGCATTCAAATAATGATTTACAGGGCCGTAATAGTTTAGGAGCTAAGCTAAGCTCAGGAGTAAATACCACAGTACCAAGTTCAATCCCCGCCGGCACCAACAAAATTGTTAACTGCAATTTAAATGCTGATTTACCTGTGCACTATGCGCTTGCATGTGTGCGCGGCAAAACTCTCTGGTACTAAGTCTCTCATAAATGAGAGCAGACTTGTGCCTGCAGTAGGCCTAAATAAGCAGTATCTTTAACTTTTGATAAATATTAAACCAATTCAGTTTGAGTTTATAATTTAACCATTTTAAGACACGAATATATTATATGGATATAAGTATTATGTGTTATTTTTATCTAATAGACAAAATATCATTTGCAAATCGTATCTTTTTTAAAACTAGTAATATTTATTCTTATTGTATTTTCCTGGAACAGAGTCATGCTGCATTATGGCTGCAGAGCTGCAGCATGAATAGAGCGGCTAGACCGAGGTACGAAGCTAAAATGGCAGCTTAATGCTGCTGTTTTATGGCGAGTGTAAAGAACCGAAGAGCCTTTTTACTAATAATGAGGCATTTCATCTTAGTCCTCTGGGGTGACACATCTACGTTTTGATTCTTAGTCGCGGATAGTCGCGAAATGTCGATAGGCACACACATCCATTTACCATTAGGTGGTCTATATGCTCCTTTGTCACCCTTATTCTATTAAAAATTGTAAAATGCTTTATTATTTTAAGCAGCTACAGATGTGTTTTCAGACCTCATAAACTGTAATATATAATGACTCTCCTTACTCTTCTGGAACACAACATATAAGCATTGAGCATACGGCTGCTACCGACAGCAAAAAAAAAAGTGTATTATGAACCCAGGTGGACCCACAATTAGTAAAAAAAATAAGTTTAGTTTAGTTTAGTAAGTAAAAACCAGGAGAAAAATAATACAAGAACTTACATTTTCTACAATGGTGAGAGCGAGGAGCCTTGTAACTGTTACAAACTGAACAGAATTGTAAGTGTTCTTTATCTTCCTCATTTTCCTGAAACAAAGCATTGGTTTTAAATATTGCTAAAGCTTTTTTATCTAAATGTAAATGTGAATATGTCAATGGATAAAAATAATTTTATGGATTTTATAGCATTTCATTGGCAATTCAGAAAAATGATGATAACAAAATCGGGGGATACAGTTCAGTGTTGCAGCTACATATATATCATCTACATCCAAATTTTAACCACACCAATCGATATATGAAACGATCAAAGGACTGTGACGCATTGTGGGGGGGGGGGGGGGGTCACCATCTGCTTGGGATTTTATTTTAATAAATAAGATGGTAGGACCCAGCCATCTTTTCTATTGAAATTTGGATTTTTTTTTAAATTTCAATAACCTTCGAATTATTCTGTGTAAAAAATGATATGTAAACTATATGCATACGCTTAAGCGTACGCTTCTCTACGCTATGAAGAAGTAGCATGTCTTAGTGTGGTACATGTTTAATGTTGTGTGATGAATGAAAATTTTTCAATAAAAAACCATATGCTTATTGTATTATACTGTACTTCCCATCCTGAATTTATTAATATTAACATTATATTTCTTATTCGTTTTTTTTCAGTTGTTAATATATTATAATATCAGGTTAAAGACATTTATTTATCACATGAGAACAATATACAGGTCGCTTAACTGTGATAGATAGTAAATACTTAAGAATCGAAAACAAAAAAAATCAGGTTCAAAAAAAGTAGCAATTACGATAAGCAACGGTGCATACACATTATTGTTATATAACATGTTTCAGTAATGTGAAGGCTGAATGTTATAAAACGTGCTATATAACGTGACACAAATGTTAACTCGAGGGGCAGAACGACAAACGACAATGTCACAATGTCATACAACATTGTTATATTGCATTGTTATTCTAATGTGTACAGTATTGTCATATGTTGCAATGTTGAAAAACAATGTTACATGATGTGGACGTGTTATAAAACAAAAGTTATACAACATGTTACTTGATCTGTACGCACCGTTATAGTACTTTTATAGCCTTATTTATTCAAAAATTGTTACTATTTATTAGGATATAATATATCATTAACATTTGAATACAACTTTTGGAATATAATGTCTAGTGGTGGGTCATTGTCGAATTTTTGATGGACGAAACGCAACCATTTTCCCGACGACGAAAACGGTTGCAGAAAACGGTCGTCGTTGCAACCGGTTTGATGAGGGCTTAAAGAACGAAACTTATCCAACATGGAATAGAATTGCGTTATCCTCGCGTTAAATAGTTGCAGTTTCTTACAACTAAGATAAGGACTGGTTTATCTCTGTCTACGTTTGTAAACGATCGTGGAAACAAAGACTACAATATAACGCGGGACGTTAAAGACGCCGACGCGACGAGTGAGATAGATAGTTGAATCATTGCGTTCTCGACTTTATTTTCATAGTCGTAAAATAAAAAATCGCACCAAGTAATTAGAACACTGGCTTGTGCAACAAAGACTGTTTGAACCCATGATGTAAAACGGTTTCTTTAACACAGAACACAAAACGGTTGTTGTAAATTATTAGTTGTCGCAACATCCACCCCTAATAATTTCTTAATTTAAAATATAATTTCTTAGGTTGGGCCATTTAATAGTAATAATTTTGATTACTATTATTACTTACTGGTTTCCATCCCAATGGTACAAAGCCAGGTCCTTCTAATAAAGACTGAAGGAAAAAGTAGAGTGTAGTAGCCGCTAGCCCCAAGAACATAACAGCATGCAATGCTGCACCAACAGACTCGTGGGGGGGCCACCACATACCAATTAAATGCACCATTGCCCAAGTTATTAACTTTATAATGCCTGCAATTAATAAATTTATAGTTTATGGTAATAAGTATTTCATTGTCAGTAAGTGTTTGTTAAATAGTTCTTAATTAATAAGCTCAAAAGTTGAAACATAATATTTTAGTTCAGTAATCTAAATCAAAGAATACATTAATTATAGATTAAAATTTACTTGTCACCATTATGACAAGGCTATTATTAATAATTGATGATAAAATATCAGTTATAATCACACTAATTCTTATAAAAATATAAGGAACTCAAAAAAATTAAAATGATTTTATGAAAACACTTCTTTTTCCAATATGCCTGCTAACATTTATAAGTAAGAAGAAAGTACATAATATTTTTATTTACAATTTGAAAACAATTAAATTGTAAGTAAGATACTACAACAAAACAGATAATGCAAGCTGAACCATTAGCTTAGAAATATTTTATATATATATATGATATATCGTCATGAACATTTTTTTTATAGGATAGGGTGACAAACGAGCACACAGTCCACCTGATGGTTGCTGTGGCCCATACACATCTACATTTATCCTTGTTTGTGAATCAAAATGCAGATGCGTTGTCACCTGTGAGGACTAAGATGGAAGGCCTCTTTTCCAGTAAAAAGGGTCTCCGGTTCTCAACACAGCAGTATGAAGATACTATTTTACGCTAGTACACTGTGAGAGGGTGATCCTTCCCCAGTCGAGCCGACCCAATCATGCTACAACTATACTACTAATATAGCTGCAGCATGGCTCTACCACGTATAAAAATATTGTAACAACGCCCCAAAGTTGCTCGCAACTTCAAAGGACTGATGACTGACAGTGGACAAACAGCTGTCAATGTTCTACTGTCCTTGGATGAAACATACACCTATGTCAAAGTAGAACGAAGTATCTTCATTTGTGTGAGTTTTTTCATTCCTTTTTTTTGTAGCCTACAACTTCTTTGTGGAAATTTCACTAACACTCAAAAGACGCGCTTAGAAGTGGAGTTGTGAAAAACAGCCCATATTTAACTAAACTAAAATACCTTTAAAACAGAAACACAGCAGTGCAGGTACTGTTAATAAGTGGCAGAAATTTGTAAGAGGAGGGTACCCAGAACTCTAGTATGAGGAGTTTCACATATTCTTGACATACAACCAAACTGTTAAGTGTGCATATGATAGTGGCCTTTGTTTATCAGCTTATTACCATGACGTCTATTGGAAAGTTATTTCTTTAAACTATTTTTAATTTAAAATAACTTTTCTTACTAATAATCGTTCGAAACGGAATCGGAACGTTCAAAATGGAAAACAGTATTGCATATAGGAAAAAGATAGTATCAAAATGAAACAGGGAATTGTTCTTTTTACTTTAAGGATTAAATCCTGTTATATAATACATACTGCTGCTGTGCTGAATTAATAATTTATTCTATTCATGACTTACATAAAACTGCAATAGGACCCCAATGGCAAAGTCTCCGAATTGGAGACGAGCCCATTATGAATGAAGTTATTAAGTTTTGTCAAACAAGTTATCACTTAAAATATCATAGATTAATAGTGGACTTTATAAAAATAAGTCCTTTATAACATTATTTATGTTTCGTGTTTACTATTTACAGTATTTATTTTACTACATCAACAACACCGCTGAAACGCCAATCGCCAACACATTTGAAAAATTATCGTGTCAATGTCAAGCGTCAACTGTCAAATCTGACAAACTTCTTTCTTTCGTTGTTAATGGACTAGTAACATTGTGCTTTTGCCTCTGGCAAGTGTTAAGGAGGTCCTTTATAACATCTTGTTTAAAAACTTATTTACAATAGTATTTTGATGCGTAGCATTGCGAAGGTTTTGGGAAATTTTGACGGGGGCATACGCCAACATTATCTTGAGGTTTACATCATGAAATTATAAATGGTTTACATGACCATCGGAACACTTGTTTATTCATTTCCATATATGTTTGTTTCCATATTGTTTGTTTCAATAGTTTACACACACACACATTTAATACACATAACCACACAACTTTATCAAAATCCACTTCGAATCAAAATTCACAACAGCAATCCGCCGGCGGATTTTGTTGATGCTAATTAAGGCAAGAAAAGATCTTTCACCATACAGCCTTATTTGATGTGTATATTTATTAATAAATTCTTCACTATATGCCAAAGCGTCACATTGCGAGGTTTTTGGGGAATTTCAAAAACAGTTTGATCTAACGGACTGTTGTTAACGATTGTTGTTCAATCAAACTGGTTAACTGATCATGGTTAAGTTCCTGCCAAAATTTTATCTGACAAACTTTTTCAAAAGTTAGTTTTTTCGCTTGTTTATTAGACTCTTAAGTTATTTTACCAGTGCCTAGTAGTTGGAAATTATATTTTAATTATCAAGTGGTAGAATTGTTTACAATCTCAGTTCCCTGTATGTACAATACACACCCTACCCCCCACCTATGTTATGTATGCCTCCAGGTGATTTTGACGAAGGCTCAACATTCTAAGTTGAAAACATAAAATAACGTCGTTAAAGAAACCGTGATAACCGAGACAACCTATGGCTGCCACAAGGGTACTACTAATCATGATTAAATATGTATTATTGAAGTGAAAATTTCTTTGGCATCGTCGTGATTTGAAACAAATGAAACGAAAAAGTAACACTAAAAAAAGACAAATATATAAATCTATAGGAGACAATGAGATATAATTTATACTAATATAATATAATAACAAATAATAAAGCAAAAGAGGTTTTTTGTTTGTTTAAACACGCTAAACTTTGGAACTACCAGTACGATTTGAAGAATTCTTTTTGTATATGATAGCCAGATTCACTAAAAATAGAATAGGCTTTCTGACATTAGACTTCACCTCTCAGCTAGCCTTAAATATTAATTTTTGTTATGCAAGTCGGAAGAAAAAGCGCTCCCGAACTGCTTAATCTGTGTGTGCTGGAGTAATGGTTAGTGATTAGTAAATACTATGTTCTACAAAAATATTGATCTTTCTTCCATCTAAAATAATTCTGCGATACCAAAGTCCTATTTCTTATACATAAGCCAAAATAATGTATTTTGTGACAAAAATATTAAAAATTATAAAGGGATTTATGCGCTTTAATTCATCATCGAGACAATTTTATGAAGATTAACTTTGCCCAGTAGCCAATTCTTTCGAGGGGCCCTTGATCTACTATGGGTTCTTAGGTAATATTTTAAAATAAAAAATTTGTAGAACCGACTTCAATATAAATTATTAAAAATAACTCAAAAACTATTGGTTAGAACTTGATCCAATTTATATGTGACCACATGAGAAGTACCAGAAAATTTAAAATAAAAAAAGAATCATCGAAATCGGTTCACCTAGAAAAAAGTTATGAGGTAAGACAAATTAAAAAAAAACCAGTTGAATGGAGTATCTTTTTGAAGTCGCTAGGAAAGTGGTAAAAAAACAATTCAATTATCAATATATTTATTTTCCATCTATAGGTTACAATTTTGTTGGTGTTTAATAGTACAATAGATAACTATAGGCCCTATTAGAATCTCACAGGTACAAAAAGCCAAAGATGAGATTGTCCCGGCTATTTAGAATAATTTTGATATTAAATAACAATTTAAAACTGACGATACTACACAAATAATTGTAAATCTTTTTAACACATATTTCAAAGTTTCGTACTGTACATCGCACCAGCTACATCCGCTTTGAATAGCTCGGCAAACTGCACTGATTCGCCGTCTAGGCTGTCTTCCAAATCATTTAAATAAGCAGTGAAATAAATAAAAGTTTTTTTCATAACCTCTACTGCTGTAATAGGTTTTAACTATTGATATATTTCAAAAACACTAGTTAATTCGATGGCGATTATTCCTCTGTCAAAATTACTCGGCTATTTATCAATATCGTTGGAGTATATTGGAACGAAGTTCCTTATAGGACGGTACGAATTTGGCGGATGGGGGCTAGGCGAGAAAAACATGTAAGATTTTTCCGTCACGACCCTTAGTGTAGACGGCCTTGACAGCTATAAGGAAGCGAGATGGAATAATATCCATCTCTCTCGCACTTTTTTATCTCTCCATGAAAGAAATATTATTGTATCAATGATATTATATATAAAAAGAGGTAGATAGTGCGCGCAAATTGTTGCAGACAAATTAAGACAATTGTTATAATTTTATTTAGTCAGCCAATAGCAAAGAACGAAACATAGCGTATCCGTGGCGTGACAATATTAACAATAACATATCCAAAATGCCAAGTAGTGTCTTAAGAAAGTGTAAAAACTATGGTTCGAAGATAAATAAGAGTGAAGGAATTTCATACCATACATAAGTATAATAAAATAATATTACATATTTATATTTTGTCACGATTTTATTTCTCATTTACAAATAAATGTTGAATTGTTAATATGGTGGTTCGAAAAGGATAGAGAATATGATGGCAAATATAGCGCGACAAGGACAAATAGAAAGCGTCATAGATTAACAACCAAAAGCGAAATCTTAGGCACAATACATAGCCTTCGTTAGCCGCTTGATCGCGAGTTTTCTTGTAGTTAGTGAGTGCCTTTCTAACATAATATTATAATGATCATAATAAGTTCTGGCTTTCAACGTTTTATAATTAAGATTTTTATTATTTTCCAGATTTCCGAGTGATGATTTTACAAAACATAAATGGGTCAGCATAGTTCAGGCGGAAAGAAGTGAACATGACTGGATGCCCACAAAAAGTAGTACAATTTGTTCTGCACATTTTAATCAGGAAGATAAATATACGACTTTGAAAGGATACCTGCGTCTAAAACATCTGCAGTACCTGTGATATCCTCGGTAAAATTTATTATTTTAAAAATACGATACTTCATTATTTTAACAAAAAAAAATGAAGTAACTTCTGTAATTTCACAATTTCAATTTTACAACTATTGTGTCGTTTTTCCCGTGTAGGAATTGAACCCACAGCACTTGGCACAGCGTTACTAGTGGCACTTAAATCACTAGACCACCTGTGCAGTAAATTTTGGTTAATTAATTACTACTATCATTCTTGTATAATTTACCGTAACAATAAGACAATTTCTTCTTTTTCAGGACAATGATGATGTTCCGAAATTTGGCTCACCTACCAGTCTGGACCATGTAAATATATCCGACATCAATTCCGTGTTCGACACTCCTAGAAAAGCAACGCTTAAGAAGCGAGTTCGTAAATTAGTTATTAAACTATAACAGTGGTAGAGCCATGCTGCTGCTATATTATGGTTGTAGCACGAATGGGTCGGCTCGACCGGGGAAGGGCCACGCTCTCACAGAAAACCAGCGTAAAATAGCAGCCTAACGCTGCTGTGTTTCGTATGGTGAGTGTAGAGAACCGGAGACCCTTTTTACTGGCAAAGAGGCATTCCATCTTAGTCCTCACGGGTGACAACGCATCTGCATCTTGAGTCTTTATTGAGGATAGATGTAGATGTCTATAGGTCACAGTAACCACTTACCATCAGGTGGACTGTGTGCTCGTTTGTCAACCGATCCTATAAAAAAAAATTAAAAAAAATGTTACAGAAAAAAAATGTTCTTAAAGTTCAAAATAACAGATTAAGGAAATAAAATAACAAGCATTAAAAATATTTTAAAGGTATTGAAAAAAAAGAATTATCTTACGAAACAGCAATTTTCGGAACTTATCCTAAAAGCAGAACCATTAAACTTATTTAACGAAATACTTCAAATAACAAAATCTAAGAAAAGTTTTAGAAAGAAATACCCAGTATCTACTAGCGTCCGGTCAATCCTAGGTGCTGTCCAAAGAATCAGGGAAAATCAGCGCATAGTGCCCAACACTCATGAAGAAGTTGCTCCGCGTCACTTTCCACCCTCGTTAGAACAACGAGTCTTAGACCATTTCGATTGGAATCCAACCTGCAGCCTTAGACAAGCTGGGCGTGTGTTTAGAGTGAGGCATAGAACAATACACCGAGTGCTGAAAAGGAACATACTACGTCCTTATAAATATGCTAAGGTGCAGGCGTTGCTGCCTCGTGATAAGCCTAGACTAGACTTCTTTTTATGGGGCTTTATTAAAAATGAGGTGTACCCAAAGATCTCCGAAACCGAAGATGAACTGCGCAATCGTATTGTTGCCGCTTTTGACAAATTAAAAGCCGTGGCTCTGGATCCTGAACGAAATTTGTTGAGCAGGCTTCAGGACAACATTATACGGCGATGTAACTTGTGCATTCAAGAACGTGGCGGACATTTTGAAAATTTTAAAATTTAGGGTTCCATTAAATTTTGCAACTAATATGCAATAATATTTATTTCATTCAGTTCCATTTTCCCGAAATAAAAAAGTGGCGGTAAAAATACCTAAACACTTTAGTAAGTTTTTATTTCGTCGCACATTGTCAAACGAACCAAAGGCCGTGCCGACAATAAAGCTGCCTGCCGAAAACCGCCATGCCACCCGCGTGC